AAGGATGTTTTCAGGTTCTGGAGGTTTAGAACCGAGTAGGGTCCAAGTGACTCTCCATGCTTTGGATTATTTGTATACTGGTACACCTCTACCTCGATATAACGCGACCCGATATAACACGAATTCGGATATAACGTGGTAAAGCAGTGCTCCGGGGGGGCTGGGCTGCACACTCCGGTGGATCAAAGCAAGTTCAATATAACGCGGTTTCACCTATAACGCAGTAAGATTTTTTGGCTCCGGAGGACAGCGTTATATCGAGGTAGAGGTGTACCAGTATACAAATAATCCAAAGCATGGAGAGTCACTTGGACCCTACTCGGTTCTAAACCTCCAGAAGACAGGACCATGCTCCCTTAAAAATCAACATTCCACAAATATTCCCTACTCCCAAACAACACCCCAAACTCCCACCCAGATATGCTCTGCAGGAACAAAGGAGATTGTGACAAAAGTGCCATTTCAGGCACATGGAGCACTGTCTTTAATTGTTGTACAGTGCTTAGATACCACCCTGACGGATAGGTGCCTTAGAAAAACCTGAGAGAGAGAGATCACTCAGACTTCCCAGATTCAGCATACAATTACTGCGTGACCTTTTCTGCATGTGCCAAGACACTGAGACCTAAGCCCCATTCAGCATCTGATTATTTATTTTTTGGCGGTAGCAGTAGCACCTAAAGATTCCAACCAGATAACTGAACTGTGCATAGCCTGCATTAGGCTGTAGGCTGTGCAAACACACAGGAAGATGCAGTCCCTCCCCAAAGAGCTATTCATGTTCATCGATTTTTAAGGCCAGAAGGGACCGTTCTGATCAAACTTTTGTTTGCTGGCTTCCAATTTCTCGGTTATTCTTGGCCAGACCACTTGTCTGGAGTATTAACACTTTCAGAACCTTGCTGATATTCTAAATATCCCCTAGTACAGTGGTTCTCTGCCTTTTCCAGACTGGGACCCCTCCAACTCTGCTCTCCCCTAGTCTTGATCTAGCCTGGGGCAAGGTGGTCATCATGCCCTGAAACCTATTCACTAAACCCCAGGAGTCACAACTCCCAGGCTGAGAACCAGGGCCTTAGTATTTTTCCTCTTAAAGAACCAGCGTCCAAAACACCAAAAGAGAGACAACAGAACTACAGTAAATATAACTATACTCTCAGTACTAGAGGTGTGAGGTCCAGATGCAAAACACAGGATCTGAAACTTTGTAGGTAGCCCATGAATCATTTTGCCTGGAAACTTACAGAAGTTGATCAAGTTGTTACATCTATGCCGAGAGGGAGAATCTCAGTCCTCTCCCTTTCAGCTCTGAACATTGTGTCACGCCTCTTGTAGGTTTCATTCTCTGGGAGTGGAGCTAGAGTTTCATTAACATGGAAAGACCCTTTAGGTAAATGGGTAATAGAGCAAATGAACTGATTTGCAGTTGGGTAAATCCAATGCAGCTACTGGTTTGGGTGCTGTTTAATTTAACCAGAATTCCAGGGGTTTAGCTAAGCTTTGGATGGTATTAAAGGCAATTCTGCAGGAATTAACTGGGCCGAACTAGGCTTAAAAATAGCTTTGCAAGCTTTAGTGGGAGTCCAGGTGGCATTAAGGAAATAGCCATTTATTGAGCAAGAATAAGCTAGTTTCCAGCTGGCCACAGTGCTGTTTTGTCTCCCCTGGAGCATGTGATTTGGACTTGCTTGTCGTTCCAGGACCACCTTTGGAGGGAATTTTCAGTTTGTCTGACATTGAACTGTCACCTTGAGCAGTGAACAAGGTGATCACAAGAGAGCTAACGATGGTGTAGGGAACCTTGGGTGGTGCTTGCCTTGTGAAGGAGTCTATCCAAGCAATGAATTCTCCTGCTGCACAGATGTTCTCAGCAACTCTGGGAGGGCAGAAGATAAATTCGCCTTAACTGACTGATTTCCATCTGACTTCAGTGACAACAACTTCATAAAGGATGTAAAATTTGTGGGCCACATGCTGCTCTCTCTTCCACCAATGTAAACCAGGAGTACATCTGGGTGGAGTTACTCTTCTGCAATAACATTAGCAGTGTCACTCCAGATTTACACCATGGCAGCTAACAGTGGAATTTGGCCCAATGTGTCCAAGCTACCTCTCTCCCTCTCCCCACCTCCTTTATTTCTTTTTCTGCTTCTCTCTTTTTTCCTTGCCATTCAATAGCTGAAGAGAGGCTGTGCGTGCTAGTGATTGTAACAGAAGAGTAAGAGTCATGATCCCTGAGAGCTATTCCTGGCTCCGCCGCTGACTCTCTGAGTGACCTTGGGCAAGTCCCTTCGCCTGTCTTTGCCCCAAGCCATGTCTACACTACGGACACTACAGAGGCACAGTTACATCAGTGCAGCCGGGCTACAGTAGCACCATACTGTAGACACTTCCTACGCTGATAGAAGGGGTTTAGCTAATCCTCTCCTCCAGGCTGCGGTAGCTAGGCTGAGGGAAGACTTCTTCCGTTGACCTAGCCGCATCTACACCAGGAGTTAGGTCGGCTTAACTACGGTGCTCAGGGATATGAATGTTTCATGCCCCTTAGCAGTGTAGCTAGGTCAATTTAGTTTTAAGTGGTAGACCAGGCCTTAGTTTCCCAAGATGGGCGTAATAATATGAAGTCACATCAGAGGGCTTCTGCAAGGTGAATTAAATAGTTTCGTAAAATGCTTTGAGATCCTGGATAAAAGTTGTTAGATACCTGCAGTGTTGCTGTTGTTGTTATCTTGACAGATTGCCTTTAGGCACTGTGCAAAACCCAACCTTGTCTGGTCTCTTTAAGGCCCTACACGGTAGAGTTGAAAAGATACTATCAGACAGAGAATGAGGATGAAAATCCCTTCATCTGCTCCCAGCCTCGGGAGAATGGAATGCGTTACTGCCGCAGTATCCCGACACGGAGGGAAGAAGGCCTGGAGTGCACCCTGGACTTTTACGCCTATAACGACACCACTAACACCTCCTGCGTCAATTGGAACCAGTATTACACCAACTGTTCTGCTGGGGAGCACAACCCCTTCAAAGGAGCAATCAACTTTGATAACATCGGATATGCCTGGATCGCAATATTTCAGGTGAGCGGGCTCCCATTCTCACCCCCCACTGAGAGGGAGAGTTTGGAGGTCAGGTCAAATCTACCTTGATCAGTGCTAGGTTCACAAATATCTGCACGATCAGACCTGCTCTCCTATGGCTGTTCCATACACAGAAAGCTCTTGAGCAGTAATGCGAGAGTCCCATCGGCTGCCAGGAAGGCAATTCGATGTCCAGTCTGAAGAAGCTTTCCTCACCTGGGGTGAAATTCACTCCTGTGTAGACGGTCTATGCACCATTTAAATCCAATTTAAGGGATTAACTGGGATTTAAGAGGTATACAGGCTTTTCTGCAGGTTCTCTGCACAGCAGTGAATTTCACCCAAGAGTTTCCTTCCAACTCAGTTTGTGCATCACTTTTCTTTGCACCATCAGCTCTTGGAACCCTGGGAGCATCATTGCCATAAGGCTTTTTAACATGAGGTATGTTTCCAATTACCACTTTGAGTGGCATTAAATAAGGAGGTTAACAAATGGTGTATGAACCTTTGTAAGCACAATGAGTCCAGCCCACTAGTCTATGCTGTGCTCATCCCAGACTGAAACATACCAGTGTATTTGAGACAGAGAGCAAGTTACCACTTTAAGCAAGTATCTGGCCCAAGAGGTAGGAGGAAAAGGCCATTTCCAGCTGCGGTGAGAGCGTACTGTGTTACATTGGCTTACGTCCTTCTCCTCAGCGGGACTCTATTTTAGAATTGCACAACTTGGGTGAGCAAATGCTGCTCCATTGAGGTTAATTGGAAAGTTTGCCGCTGACTTTAAGGGAGCAGGATTTTGCCCTCCGAGCTATAGTACGTGGCCTTGGTGCAGCGCAGATTGTCCCTGACCAGTGCGAAGGGCATCCGTGCTGTTCCTCCTGTGCTTCATATTAAAGCGTAGGCCAATGGAGGTGTTGACTGGTGGGCTGATTGTTCTTTCTCCTGCCTCTCTCAGGTCATCACGCTGGAGGGCTGGGTGGACATCATGTACTTCGTCATGGATGCTCATTCCTTCTACAATTTCATCTACTTCATCCTTCTGATCATCGTGAGTGATCTCTCAGCCCACCCAGTGGGTCGCACGCCTGTCGCTCAGGTGTACGGGGAAGGACGTAGTCATGTGAATGGGCAGAGGAGTGGGCAGGAAGGGGGTGGGATATAGCACTTCATCCAGGCTGGGAGAGGTGGTAACCAACTCGTTGGAGGACATGCCGATGAGTTTTACGTACATTGAAACAACCCCATTTCTCCTTGTTAAAGGGGTGAAATATGTTGCGCAGGGGGTGAATTTCTGCTGTAGTTGTACATCTAGCTGTATTTTGCTGGAGACATGAATGGAAGTAAGTATATGTTCCCCTGTTCTACACTGGGTCCCCCTCCTCCTGTTCGGGGATACGTCACCCTCCTCATCCTTCTTCCTGCTTTGCAATAGACTCCTCCTCTTTGCCTTTTTATTTAAAAAAAATGTAAATGAAACAGTACATGAATTTCGTGCCGCTGTAAGGTGTCGGCCTGCTCGAACTCCTTGGGTACATGGAGCCTGTCCAAGGCTCCACCCACAAGAAAACACCGTCGCGTCGACTTTGCTGAAAAATGTCAGACAGATGGTCCTGGAGGCTGGAGCCCTCAGTGCAGCACATGTGCTCAGTTGTTAGTCTCTGGAGACTGCTCAGACTGCCAGCTGGGATGGCTTCTGTGTTGTGGCCTCCTGTCCTGTGAGGCCTGGACTAAGACCACCAAAATCACTGCACGTTGGCCACAAAACACCATTGTGCTCATTCGTAGTCGTTACCCAGTCCTGGGTTTGAACCGGTGACCTGGAAGTTAAAGTCTGTTTAGTCTATCACTAGTTCTCCAAGTGTTTCTGTTCCTAATTAGTGATCGTTCTTCCTGTTCTGCAACAGCTCCTTGTGCTCTGTGCATCCCAAAGGCAATGCAGAGCAAGGCATTGGTAGCCTGTGCTGTTGTGGATTCCGAGGGACTGGGGAGAAGGCAAGACTGAGAAGTCATTGGTTGCTCTTTTGAATCCAGGTGGAATAGTGCCCATGATCTACACAACACAGAATCTAATGAAACCCAAGTTTGGAATAAAATATCAAATCCTTGGCTGCAGACAGCTGATGCTCTTGAGTAACAATATCCCCATAAATCCGGTTAACAAAGATTTCACAAGCCACCCACACACTGCCAGAAGAAAAAGCCTCCTATCAAAAGGGCTCAGTGCTTTCATTCTAATGCAGCTAATTGTGATAATTACAAGCAGTGTCTGCTGAGACATAAAACAAAATACAAAGCCAAACCAAAGAGGACCTCAGATATTTAAAAAAAAAAAAAAGACAAGCAAAGTCTCTTAGTCAAAATAAACGTTCCCTCCTCTTTGATATATGACGTCACCCGTGGAGACCTGGCGTGGGAGGCACCACAGTGGGGATTCTGAGAGGCTGTCTCCTGCATGCCCCTGCAGGGCAGACAGGACAGGGGGCCGCCCGCCCTGTGAGTGAGTCAGTGTGAGATCTCTACTCTTTGCTGAAATATTAGCCCTTGCCTATGGTGTGTCCGTGTCAGATGTGTCCAGCCTCCACTGCTCGGACATGTTCACACACGCCCACATCCATGGCCATCTCAGCCCCACTTTTTGTGTCCTGCCATTGGCTGCCACCACCTCCTCCCCACTGAGCAGAAACTGCTTCTATTCTCACCTTTAAGCTCCTCCTCTGTATGGCCCTGCCTCACCTTGCGAATGTAAGTCCTTCTTGCACGTCCACCCCATCATTTGCTCTGTCAATGACGCCAACCTCCATCGCCTGCTTTTCCCACAAGCACCGTCACACTGTCTCCTGTCCCCTCCCTTACGCTGGGGGAAACACTCCCCCAGCAGATTTCACAAAGCTGCCACTTCATCTTCTTTCAGATCCCTGCTTAAAACCCATCTCTGCTGTGATGCCTGCAAACCACCATGGTCTGTCTTTGGCTAAACTAGTGACCATGTGCGATTCCTGAGATCGCCCTTACGACTAACACACACGCATATTGCTTTTTATTCACCCGTCCACAATATCCTATCTTAGCTTTTGAGCAGCCTGGGGCAGAGACAAGCTGTGTTATTTGTTTGTTCAGTGTCTAGAAGAGCTGTGTGACTGCTTGGTTCAGTGGCCAAACCGAAAAACCAGGGGGAAAACATTATTCTAGTTGACCCAGAATAAAACTTTTCAATTTTTGTAGAGAAATGTAAATGTAGAAAAAAATGTTTTGTGTCAAGTAAAACCCATTTGGTTCAACTCAAAATGAAATCTTTTGTTTTCAAAGGGTTTTAACTTTTTATACTTTTTTTTTTCCAAAATAAAATTGAAGCAGATTTGAAATGCAAGTCATTTTGAATAGAAAAATCAAAATGTTTTGTTTCAACTATTTTTTTTCCAGCCAAAACCACTCAGCAAATTCGGCACAACTTTGCAAAATGTTTTGGTAGACCCAAATGTGCATTTATTTATTTATTTATTGGTGGGGGAGGGGGGGAACCTATTGTCTGAAAAATGTTGGCCAGCTCTGTTGACTAGAACAATGGGTTCTGATCCCTGTTTGGGGTCCTTTGTTTCCATTGTGGTAGCAGCTATCAATAGTCATCACACACATACCCCGCCACCCTCTCTCTTGGACTGATGGCATCTTCTGTTCTCCTTTAGGTGGGCTCCTTCTTCATGATCAACCTCTGCTTAGTGGTCATCGCCACCCAGTTCTCTGAGACTAAGCAGCGAGAGAGCCAGCTGATGAAAGAGCAGCGGGTCCGTTACCTATCCAATGCCAGCACGCTGGCCAGTTTTTCGGAGCCGGGTAGCTGCTATGATGAACTTCTCAAATATCTGGTTTACGTTGCCCGTAAGGCCAGCAAACAGGTGGTCAAAGGCTATAGAGAGGCAGGGTTCAAAATGGGTCTCCTCTCCAGCCCGAAGAATAAGAGTGGGGCCGAGAGGCAGCCATGCAAACATCGGCAGAGGAAAAGGTCATCAGTGCACCATCTGATTCACCATCACCACCACCACCACCACCACTACCACCTGAGTAATGGGAACCTGCGGGCACCACGCGCCAGCCCTGAGATCAGCGATGTGGAAACCAGCTCACTCCACAATGGCACCAACAGGCTCATGCTCCCTCCCACAACATCTAATCCCCATGCTGCCCCCAACGCTGCTGCCAGCAACACAGAGTCCGTGCACAGCATCTACCATGCAGATTGCCACTTTGAGCCCATCCACTGCAGGTCATCCCTCCCTCAGCCTGGCTTGAGTTTACCAAGCCCAGAGGGGCTCCCCAAGAATGTGGTTGGCAGGAAGGTCTATCCCACCGTACACCCAAGCACCTCCCATGAGATGCTGAAAGAGAAAAATGTAGCAGATTCTACAGTGAACCCTGGAGCCAGCACGCTAACCAACCTTAATATCCCTCCTGGGCCGTACAGCACCATGCACAAGGTCCTGGAGACCCAGAGTACTGGTGAGTGCTGGAGCTGGGGGTCAGCCTTTGGTTGCATTCCAGAAATAAGACCTAAGTCCTAATTCTTTTTTCTTTCCACTGAATCTTTCCAGGATTCTTTTCAGTCCACAGTACAGATACGGGAGCTGGCTTTCCAGGTAAGGCCAAGTCAGGATCTTCCCGCCCACAAAATGCATCCTGAGTTCAGAGCCTGAGTGGAAGTCTCTGCTTCCCAGCTTTGCGCCAGCAAAGACCTAGGGCAATGGACTATCAGGAAATCTCTGTTTTTTGTAAGAATCTGTCTTGCCTGGCTCTTCTCCCCAGTCCCATTGACCACCTCAAATCACAGCATTTCCTAATCAGACAAGAGCTGGGCCCAAGGCGCAAAGTGCAGATCTGGATCTCAACTTGCCCAAAGCGCAGGGGTGTTCTGGCCCATCTTTAGGCAAAACACTGCCCTCAGTGCAGGCTGTACCGCCCACTCTTTGGCGTTCGGTTTGGGTTTGGATAGCTGTCTCTCTAGGTGCTTATATTGCTCCCCATTACTGTGGTATCTGAGTGCCTCACAGATTGGAAAGACTTGATCCTCATAACGCGGCCGTGAGTATGGTTATCCCCATTTTACAGAGAGGGAACCGAGGCTCAGAGAGATTCCAGGCCTGATTTTTCAGAGCTTCTGATCACCTACAACTCGAATTCAAGGCAATGACAACTGCCGAGGCTCAGCATGTTTGAAAATCAGGCCCTAAGTGACTTGCTCAGAATCTTGCCAGAAGTCTGCGGCAGAGCCAGAAACTGAACCGAGGTCTCCTGAATCCCAGGCTAAGACCGTCTCTGTACGACACTCCTTCCCCCTTTACAGCCTGAGGTTTGGGAACATAGTCAAATCTTGTTCAAACTCTCTCAGCCTCTGGGGGCTGGAAGTCCTTCTAGGCGACGCTTTCTGGCATGTCCACTTTGTATCACAGTAAAAAAAAAACAAAAAAACAATGGCCTTTCGCTCTGTTTTAACCTTTCCAGTTCACCCTCCTGACTGGAACCTTGTGTGTGAAGTGGACACGATTTTCCAGCCATTCCAGAACCCGACAAGCGATTTGAATTGGGCTCTGAAAATGGGCAAAGGTTTTGGGGCGAGGGCGGGAGAGGTTGGTTTTTATTTCGCCTAACCTGGATGGTGATATTGTGGCTTTGTCAGGCATGCACTTGCAGATGTACCCTCCCATTCCGCTCGCAGGCAGCTCTGATAGGAGCATATCCTGCCTGTACTGTCAAGCGAAGGAACCCTCTGTCAGCTGGGAGCTGCCCTTGTGAGGAACGATTTGAGAATCATATGTTTAGGGGGAAGCTGGTAATTCTGAAGTATCAGCAAACAGCAGGAGTATGAAAGTAGCTCTCTGGCTGACTCACTGTCTCTAATTACAACGCCTAACGCTCCAGGTTCTGGAGGAGCTGATTACTTTCTGTTAGCCCTAATCGCCAAAGGTGGTAATGATGAGGTGGTAAGGAGAATAATGAGGTAGTAAGGATCCCTTGGCTGGTGAATATGTCTCACTGTGGGCAGCAGAAAACCACTTAGTATATAAAGGGAAGATACTTGGAGTTATAATGTTTCTGCATGACCCTCTTTAACCTGTTTGGGACATGCAGTATAAGGGTTGGGGGAATCTAAGCAACTGGGGTTTATAAGAGAATAATTCCTGACATAGGGAGATGCTCAGAACAGGTATCAGGCCTTGTTATTTATTTATTTATTTGCTGTAATGCCCGCTATGCGCTTTCTAAACACTTCCAAAGGACAGTTCCTGATCTGGATCCTGCCGCCACAGATCAAGGATAAGAAAAGGAGAGTGGGTAGAGATGAGCGAATAACAGGGTTTTTTTGGTTCCCTGGCGATTCTGAAAAATCAATACGAAATTTCATTGCGGGTCCCATCAAAAACAAAATATTTCAACAGTTTTGGTGAACCAAAACGTTTAAAAAAAAGTTTGTTTTATTGTGTGTCAAACTAAATGTTTCATTCTCCCCACAATGAAATG